GTACTGATAGGTACCAGCTGGGTACTGGTAGGTACACTTCATATTTTAACACACCGGCTTTTATTTTGCAGGTCAGATACAATTTATACTGCAGGAAACATCCAGATTTTTAGAAGTCAGATCGATGAACTATTAACAGACCAATATCTGGACGACAACCACATCGACGCCTTCGCTAGTTTGCTGGCTGAGAAAAATAAACTTCGACCTGGCCTTTATCAACCATTTATTTATATTTCGAGTCTGCATTGGGTAATGGTGTAATTTTTCTTGCTATAACTGAATATGTTTAAAAGTTCTCCTAACCCGAATACACATACAGGCATCCAAGAAATATGATATGGAAAGTAAGCAGTACGTGTCGCACATTAACAAAGATGCCGTTACCGCTTCTAAATTTCTGCTACTACCAGTAAATGATAATGAACATTGGACTCTTCTGGTTGCTTATTTGAAGAAGGCAACTTGGTATTTTTGAAAATCATACTTCCTATGCCATCCGAGGGGATTCCGGTAGCTACCATAGATGACAACGGCCTATCAGAGTAAAGGTCCTTTCTTGCTCGACCTGACCATCTCTTGAGTAGATATTTCGGAGGTATATTAATTATATCAATCTGCCTTACCACTCTCAAGCAATGAGAACATAGTATCCCCATCATGCCGAATTTTCCACAGCTGCATTCGATGCTACCTTCTGCATCATCAAAATTAACTGTCCAGTAGCGAGGCTGATCAATGTTCTCAACAGTTTTGACAAAAAAAGTGGATAAGTCAGTTGAGGCTTGAGCTATGCACATTCCACCAACACCTTGTAAAAACTCCTCAAAGAAAGAATACAATTTACGCGAATAAAAACGCGCGGCCTGCCTAAGAATTGGACTGCTCTTCACCAAAGGAACAACATCGGACTGACTACATTTGAAGTCTTCATCCTTCTCATTCCGACGCCATGTCTTCATCACCTTTTCAAGACCCAAAAAACACTCAGTGATGGTGCTAGTAGGCTTAGAAATGCCGTGGCACACATTGTTAGTGGATTCACTGCGCTGTGTCGAAAGAATACCAAGGTTAAAACAAGTCTTGTTGTATGCTGTGGACCACTTGTTCCTTATTCTGTGGAGTTCTTTCAACCACACATGGCTATGAAGGTCCCCTTCATTCAGCATTTCAGTCCAAGTACTTTCAAACTCTTCCTCCGAATCACACCTGCTAAAACATTTATAAATCAACCCTCTAACCTTGTTGTTGCATTTGTAACAATGCACCTTGGATGGTAGCTTCTTCATGATGTGCCATTGGCAAAGCCTATGGCGTGTTTGCGGAAATGCAATTTCTATAGCCCGAGACATTGCCTGATCCTGGTCAGTAAAAATTGTAATGGGATGTTTATCACCCATTACTCTCAAGAATGTTCTAAACAGCCATGTAAATGATTCTACTGTTTCTTCAGACAGAAATGCTACCCCCAAAAGAACATTCTGCCAATGGTTGTTAACTCCAACAAAAGGTGCACAAGCTAGATTGTATTTGTTCAGTCTATAGCTGGTATCAAAAATTATAACATCTCCAAAGCAGTTGTATTCTATTCTTCCCACACCATCAGCCCAGAAAAAATTCATCAATCTATCCTCCTCATCATATTGGACTTCCCACACAAACATGTTATCACTGTTTGCTCGGTTTTTAAAAATTTCTATTAGGGAATTGGTATCCCCAGTCTCAATCTTGCATCTTCTGTTTCTCTGAACAAAGTTATATGCATCTCTTCTTAAAAAACCAACATGCTCCCTCCCACCAACTTCATCAGCTAAGTATGTGAATGCATCAATGGTTCTAATCCCAGCATCAGTCATAGATTTAAGAACAAATGCTCTCTCTTTGGTAATATTCCTGCATGATCTCAATAAATGTTGATCTTCAGGCCTTGCCAACTCATGGTTGTGGTTCTCAACACATTTATTAACCTTCCATTCCCCATCTTGATCAACTGAAAATCTAATCATCGCGGGACACCCAGTCCTAGTATTGGCTTTCCTGTATTTCGATTTGGCATTCAGGTCAAGGCCCTTCTTAAAACCAGCTTTCGAACATACAAAATCTTTCATCCGTATCTTCCTCGAATTAGGCCAGAAAGAGTGATGATCTTTGCGAACACTAAAACCAACACTATGGGCGTATCGACAGTACATATCATAAGCCTCTTTCTCACTATTACAAACAACCTACGAACAACAACCAAAAAGAGTTTAACATTGGAAACACACACACAATTTCAAAATAACTTCTGTACCTATCGGTACCTACCAGTACCGACCGATACCTACTGATACCTAGCGGTACCGACCAGTTAAAAAAGGGTACTAAACGATACTACCAACCCACCAATACATATATTCTCACCAATAAAAATTTTTTAAAACACTAAACAAGTCACGGCTTTCATATCATATTTACCGATAATATATCAAAGTTTGGTTGGGTATTCTGTTGCAAACCATCTCCAGCTCTAAGCTCTGGCTCTTGCGTAAAACCTTCCATCTCCGACCAGTCGTTCATCTCTTCCAGCACATTATCCATCTTCAGACCTTACGCCTCGAACCTCAGAACTTACGCTCTTCTCCTGCTTTCTGAGGTTTCAGGTGTTACGAGAAAAAATTTTAACTGAGGTAAAAAACCCGTGCTAGCAAATATAACCCTAGCTTTAACCGCACATTTTTTGAAGTAGTTCGGATGGTTCGTGTTATCGGGTTATCAAGTAAACAGAGCACACGCTCTCCTCATTACGGTGGGGTCAAGGTGGGCTCCACGTGGCGCGAAACTACTTGTTTGCATACACAGAACTACGTCCGCACTCCGCACCCAATAAAAGTTCCACAAGCAAGAGAGCAAGCAGGGTGGTGCCCTGCTATGCTATATGTTACCGTATGGTCTCTCTCTCCTCTCTCTCTCTCTCTCTATATATATATATTTTTAAGCAATATTTAACGATAAAGCTTAAATTATACTAATGTTTTTATAATTTAAGAAATATATTTGTTATTATTTTTTTGAAAATTAATGGCAACGCTCAAACACACAACATGAACCCAGGATCTCTTAGTTGTGAGCCAATCTTCCAACCAACAAATCAATGAGAGATGCTTTTTTAAACTTTCCTAAATTAGGAGTAGGAGCGTATTTTAGGTGAAATTTAAATAGGAGTCAATTCGTTAAAGTGCTTGAGAAAGGAAAAAAAGGCAAACATTTTATCGCAATCCGTTTAGCAATTGTGCAAAGGGGAATGCACCAAACATTTTGTTGAAACGATCATAAATCCATATCTCGCATCGCGCAATTCTGTGTTCCTTCCCGAATTGTGACATCACGCGATCACAGGCGTAATGTTAGATTTTGCTGGCCATTTGGATGGTTGGTCTGAATTAGGTAAGCTTGAATAAAACTAATGGAGGTAGATTAAGTGTAGTGAATAGTTGCTTTAATGCTATAAATAGAACTATGAGGCGAATGATAAATAAATAGGCAACATAATAATACTTGGATTAAGGAAGTGATGTTTAAAGTTCTCATTTAGGTTAGTGAAATTATAAGTTTGTAAATATTATTTAATAGTAGGAGTGTATTCTATGCGATATATCATTAAAGTAGTAGAAGCGTGTTCATTGATATACACTTTAAGGAGTGTACGAGAAGCCTAAATTAGTAGTAAGAGTCATTCTAGGCAAAATGTAAATAGAAGACAATTCGCCAAAGCGCTCGATGAAAGGAAAATGCCAAACCTTTTGGCGTATTCCGCTTAGTGCTGGTGCAAAGGGGAATTTGCCAAACTTTTTGCCGAAATCCTCAGAAATCCAGTACCCACATCAAGCAATTCTACACTTTCCTCAGCGTGTTCGTTTGCCGATCATGGGCCACGGTTGTTTGCCATTTTGGATGGGCCGCATGCGATCACAAGTGCAATGTAAGATTTTATTGGTCATTTCGGGGTTGGTGTGAATTAGGTAAGCTTGAATGCAATTAATGGAGGCAGATTAAGTGGAGTGAACAGTTGCTTTAATACTATAAATAGAACTCTGAGGCGACTGAGAAATAAACAGGTAAGGCAAGAACATTTGGAGTAAGGAAGCAAGGTTTAAAGTTCCCATTCAGGTTAGTGAAATTATAAGTTTGAAAAATATTATTTAACAGTATGAGCGTATTTTAGGAGATATAATATTAAAACAGTAGGAGTGTATTCATTGATATAATCTTTTACGGAGTTAATGGCCAACATGGCTATTTTTTATGAAGTAAAGAAACTCCTCCTTTTAAAGTATAGATATAATCACTGTTGGTAGATTCTGTTAAGTATTGAAGTCAGCATAAGGAAATAATGAAGGAAAATCAAACTAAAGTTATAAAGTTAGACAAAGAGTCTGCATAGTTAGTAGATATAAAGAAGCTAGTAGAGTGTTAAGTGAAGATTATGTAATGTTTTATTATGTTAAATACTAGTGAATATGTTTGTCTTTAGTTGATGTTTTGCAGGAATTTCTCAGGAAATGAAGAAAATTCACTAGTATTGAACAAGCACCGCAGCATCCTTAGCTCCCTAACGCCCTATACGGACATTATAACGTCAGAGTCTTGAGAAAAAAGATAATTAATTTAATGCCCTAGTGGAATAAAGGTCAATGTCGCAGCGCTTGAGATGCCACATCACTGGCAATCAACATTGCAACGCTGAAGTCTAAGGAAAATTGCACAATAATTCAATGCTGGAGCACTGGCCTCATATGCGTCGCAACACTACATGTTGTAAGTGACCTCCACACACACAAGTTTTGCATTGCCATAGTGGAGTAGTTAAGGAAAAAAACAATTGTATTGAACCAGTCAACCATTGTGCTAGATCAGCAAACAACTGTGCCAGGTCAGCCAGCATTGTAATGGAGAGCCTTTAGCAGCGCTGAAGCACTAGTTCATATTGTGACACCACAACACCACCTTGTTGAGCACCACGACACCTGACTCATTCTGTAATAAGTATAAATAATTTTCTACTTTTTGTTTGTGAGCATCTTGTTTTGAATAGTTTTATGAGAGAAGAAACTAGAGGAGAGAAAGATACATACTTCAAAGTGGTCGGTTAATATTATATTGAGCAAGCAAGCATTTGGAGAGGATAGGAGTGTGTAGAGCAAAATTGTAAAGGGAGATTCACTTTGGGAAGGGTTCATCTACCAACTCAATTTGAGACCCTTCATTCCAGGTGATATTTTTTT